CTGCAATAGCTGCTAGCTTTGCGTGCATACTTCGCTTAGTGGCTTGCCGTCTCGTCCGTATTACTTGATGGTCTGCGCGGAGACAATTTCAGGAACCACTGCAGTTGTTTCACTTTTCACGCGCATCCTATTTGCTGTCCGGTTAGAATCCTCTAAAAAGCAGCGCGATTAATAAGTCATGTTCTTTTCGTGTTCGATTGGCCTGCTGCCCTGCATTGGTTAACGGAGACAGAATTCCCTGGTCCTTTTGCATTAGGATGCAAGAAAGACGGCAGAACTTTTAATAATAATAATAATAATAATGATCGCAATAGCTATTAGAGCTTTTTCTGCTCCGGAAAATATCAATTTTAAAAGTAGGGAATTTCATTAAAATTAATTGGTTATAATGCGAAAACAATAAGCGCCCGGTTGCGATCTCCTCTAAACGGGTTTTATGGGTAGTACTCTTATTTTAATCGTTCTATTGCTGAAAATTGAAGCAGTAAGCTTCTAAGACGTCCGAGACGTCTGCAAATTTGAGTCTTTACTGTAGTTCTTAACTTATTTCAGGGCACCATATTAAAGATTTTGACAGGCACAATAAACGAATTTACCTAATGATGCTAACGTAGACAGAATTCGAGGGCATTGTGTTTACAAGTTTCAGTGAACAACTTATTACCAGGCACGTTGTCCACCTTACCAGAATTTCTTCTGCGAGAAATCAAGCAACAGAGCATGGCCTTGAAATGAGAGAATTTGATTGAGCAGAATAAAAATAAAACAAGCAAACCAACCAACCTTTCCAATTTTTACCTATTACGGACCACAGTAAAGTGGTGATGGCTTACCTCTGACATGTGATTACCCGGAGATAATGGTCATTTTCTTTTAGTTATAAGAAGTATACCAGTGCAAATAAAAGTGCCAGTTTTACGAATATGCAGTTTGAACTCTCCAGAAAATGTTTATGACAGCATTGGAGAGTAAGAAAAAGCTTAAGTCTACGACGAACTCAGAAAAGGCGAGTCACATTTCCGCTCCAAGACATCGTGTGCGATTGGTCAGACTCATTTTCCCATCTGTACGCAACTAGTCAGTGCAACGCACTCCGGCCTTATCAGGCGCTATGATCCTCTCTTGCTAATGCAATTTTCGGCGGCATAGCATTTCAGCGAAACTACACCGACAAGTAGTGCGTTCGATTTTGCTCTTGCGATTGCGCCGATAAGGCAGCCACAAC